TTGTAATGAATTTAATATAATTTTACAATTCTCTGGAGCTTCAAAGTTGTACATCTTCAACATCTTAAATTCCTTAATTAAGAATTGCAATATTAAAACCATTAACTTTTGCCTTTCTTATTCTTCATCTTAATTTAAAGCTCTTTTGCTTCCCTGGACAAATCTGTAATAATTTCCGGTAGAAAAACTTTATCTTAAGAAACTGTGGATCAGTGAAGCTTCAATTAAAGAAGCAGAACAAAGATAAAATTTCCTAGAGAGTATAAAATTTGTACATAATTTTCAACAAGTAAAAAAAATTGATGAAAAAACGTGAAAATAATTAAAGTCACATACATTGACTAGTTGTATAATACTTGTCATCTTCTTCGAGGTTATTAGCAGACTCTATACGTGCCTTCCTCACCCGGTTGCAAATATCTTACAAACAAAGGTAAAAACTGTTATTCTTTCCATTAAAGGATATTGAATTTCATTCGGATGCAAATGACAAGAACTTTACTAGCACATAATAGTATAAATTATACGCAAGGAAGCTGAGAATCATGTGACTAGAATTCAATAAACAATATTCCTTTAAATAGTCACAAAAAGATTGCATTTTTTATTTATATATAATTGAAAAATGAATCTATACAATACAACAAAGTGTATCTGCGTAATGTTTCGGATGCGTAAACGGACTTCAAAGAGATAACAATGCCTTTGTCTAGAATATATATGTATATATATATTATGTACATTCAGTGGCTCAATAAAATTTCTATCGGAGTTTAATTTAATGAGGATCTAGTTGTGACAGTTTGGCAAGCTTCCCTGGGATCTTTGGCAAGGCCAACTACCACTGAAGTTAATCGCCTTGGCCCGTCAATCGTCAAGTTTGCACACAGATGCAGAAAATGCTACTCGAGTGAACGCATTGCCCTTATGGGATCTAGCATGAGCACTGAACACTCTATATACACATTGCAATTTCGCATTGTACATCTGCGAGAGTGAACACACACTCTCTCACCAACACATTCTCCTTATCTCGTTAATATATACTGCGGGACGATAAGAGTAGTGGAAAAGAGGGTCCAGATCAAGAGAGAAAGACCTGGGTAATATATAGTATATGTTCATATAGTAAGTACTATAATACATACAACTCTTTTCTGTTGAGTCAATGCGAGGTTCAAGAAGGCATTACTCGCCAGTGGCACAACGTGCTCGTAATCGTACACGTGTGTTGTTCATTGTGATCGAGAACCATAAGCTGTGCCATAACTTCCTTTTACTCTGGATTCGGTGCTGTGATTTGCAAATCAGTGCTCTATATTTCTCAGACCTTCTTCTTCTTATCTTCTTACGATGGGAGATAATTATTTCTACAGACTCAATCTCAATTCGAGATTTCCTCAATATTTTAACTCTTAACTCAAGTTTCCACACCCAGGTACCAAACATACAATTAATCATCTATAATTACATTTTTCAAATATTTTAATCTTTTTCTACACGGAGAAACAAAGACAAACAAAAACTTCAACTGTATAATTCCATTGGATCACAAAATAACTTCAAAATTTCTATTCTTGACAATATTTGACTAATTCTTTTCCAATATGAACTTCTATATTTGTTCCTTGAACATTAGCCTTAAGAACATTATTATTATTATTCAATAAGTAAGTAATTTATTTGTATAAAAACATAATATAAAAATTAATTTTGTTGAATTAAAATATTTGCATGAAATAAAAAATTATGTTGTTATTTTATTAGTTTTGATCAGTATATTTCTGAAAGAGAAAGGTTTGAATGGTTCGGATCGAATTTTATCTCTTTCTTCTGAATTTAAAATGTTAGTTTTGTAATTAGAGACCTTGATATATTTTATCTTGTTCGCTAGCTGATCGAATTATTTATAGTATACATTTTTTGCAATTGGATTTTTTAAATCGATAAAAATAAGTGCATTTACTATTTCTCCTTATTGAAAATATTTTTGTTTAAAAATAATTGGCACAATTAAACTGTATTTTATAATGTGTGATTCGTTACTTGAATTGAGTATAAAAACTGGAAAGTGAGACGCTCTTTACTGTCAAAGCTGCACCTGTCGATAATCGCAGGACAAGCACCTGACGCGAGGATCGTGATAAAAATAATGTCTCTGAACCAGGAAGCTCATCCCTCAGGTGGTTGGAATTGGAACTATACACGAGATAAGTGTCTGATCGTAGATTCAGGACGCGAGAAACTCATTAATTTCGCGTAAGACCGATCGTTCGTGTGCCACGACTCACAATGAATCATCCCTCATGACATAGATTCGCGGTCTAATGCCTGGTCACGTTTTAAGACCTCGATCCTTTTTTATCAATGCCTTGCAGAAGCTTAGTCGCGAACTCCCAGAGAAATCGAATTTGTTTCATTTCTTATACCCTTGGGAATGACACACTATACGAATCTTCTCGAAAAACGATCCGAGAGTCCCCTATCTCTCCCCTTCATTTAAATGACGAATAGACAGATTTATCTCAAACCTATCTCTTCTCATCCTCCGCTTTTCATTTTCTCTTTTAAATAAACTCATGCCTTCCGTTTTTATCTCTTCGTTTATTTGGACAGAGTTTTTTTAACTTTGAAATCTCTCTTGAGACAATAACTATAAGTAAGGGTTTTGGGAGGGCCATCCGTTAAAATAAATATAAAAAGCATTACTCTAAGTATGTAATATTTAAAAATTTAATTAAGAACCTGTTTTTCTAAATTTAGAAAAATAATATTTTCTCTCAAAGACGTAATGCATTTTGATCAACTTATTTTCAAGAGCAAATTTTAGGACCATATGTATTTTCTACTTCTATAAATTTAACACAAATAACGGTAATTGAATGGAATACTAATTCGAGTATGAAATATAGAAAATAAAAATTCTAGTGATTCATGAGATTCACCAGAAAAAGTGGAAAAAGAAGAATTGTAATGAAAAAAATGGAATTTCCTCTTTGGCGTGAATAGAACGCTTGAATGATGAATCTGTATGGGCCTTTGAATTAGGTTCATCATTACCGAGAATCCACTCCAAAGCATCAATGAATGCTTTTTGAATGATAAACGTCAAACGTGACGAGAAAACGAAGCAGAGAGACGTCGTTTACCAAAAGCAAATTATGAACTAGTTGGTTCTTCTATTCTGTAATATATATATATATATAAATAATGCTTATTTGTATAAACTTATTCATTATCTATTCATCTTTATATTTCTTTCACAAAACGGCAATGAATCCCCTCTGTAAATTACATGTTATAGGCGGGAGAGCATATATTTCTATTACATTTTATTAAAGTCAACAAGTACTTCCTAATTTAATGACCCTTGAGGCTTTCAAAATTCGGATTTCGAAACTGTTAATATTATCCATTTATCTCGTTAGCTTTATATACCTATTGTAATCTTTTTAAAAATTTTAAATAATAGAAAAAAATTTTAAGTTACACTGGCATTGCATGATATTTAGTTATAGAGTGAGGATACAAAACTGCAAGAAATAGACAATAAAATTTAAACTCAAATAAAAAATATCACCAAATTTATAAAATACATATTTTTAATTTTATTAAACCATTCTTTGTTATAAAATTTTAATTCACAAATAGAAAATAAGAAAAGCATACAATCAAGTATGAGGATTTTGCTCTCTTTGTCACGAAAATTCCAAGGTTGACATAAATTTATCGATTAATCAAATAATTAATCAATATTTTAGGGAATGGTTTTAATAAGCAAAAGGGAAGATTAATATTTGTCAGGACACAAAACAATACAATATTTTTGAAAATAAATTAAATTAAAGTTATCACAGAAATAACGCTTTTCATTTATGTCTTCTGCTCTATTAAAAATTTATAGTTTTAAATTGAAAAAACAAATTTAAAAAATCAATCATAAGGGGTAAATAAGATTTAATTGAAGGAACAAATCCTATCCAGAATCAGCTTTTGTCAACTATGCTGACAGTATGTCGCTGACTTATACTAAGCAGATGCAACAGTTGAAGTTTAATTTGTATGACAGACAACACGCGGAGAACTTAAACGGTAACGTAAATGAAAGAAGAACTTGAAGTATAATGTGAACAATTAATGAGGCAGTCAATCAGCCGTTTATTGAACAGTGACCAATATCATCTATCACGCGAGAAATAACAGTTTGCGTGTAGGAAAAAAAAGAGAAAACGATGTGAATATTGAACTGGTTTATCGCCAATTGTTTAATCGAAACGTCGGAAACTCCCTTTCGCATTGTGTGAGTTCAAGGTCTTTATATATATATATATATATATATATATATATATATATATATATATATATATGAAAAAAAGCAATTTTATCACGTTTTTTTTTCCAACAATTTTTAATCGCTTTTCATATCGATATTTTAGAACTTTAATCTTTATGTTATAATTCAACTGACCTAAAATGAGTAATAGGTAGTATTTTTGAAAAATAGGGAAAACAATGAAAGAAAAGAGAATGGAATTATAGAATTTACGTTTATAGTCAAGCATATTCTATTATATTAAAAAAGCATCATTTTTTTTTTTTTTTTTTTATTAGTCCTGAATTTGCAGTGATTTTAGAGTCCTTTATTTATATTTTCCATCGAAAATTTCAGCCAACATAATGAGCGCCAATTGCTATTCTCATATTCGTATAATATATCATAAAAGGAAATTTTATACTTTGTTCGGTTTTGTTTTAAAGTGGTAGCTGAAAAAAATCCTTTCATTTTAAACTCCATAGATATAGGTGAAATTTCTTATGAGTCTCTCTTTTGCATTTGACCTTTGCTGCTCTAAGTACTTTTGCCACAATTTACAAGACTCTTTCTCTCTTGCCAGTGGATGTTGGTACAATCACCAACCTACCTAGTAGAGACTGTTTTATGAGCAAATGTTACCTCTCTCGTAGACACCAAAGTCACGTTGAAATGTTGCTTGTTACAGGAGGCTTGAAGCACGGGAACGGGGGTATTGGCAGTGCCAGCAGCTCGAGAAGTACAAGTCCAAGTCAACAGCAACCACCACAAAGCGGTCTTTCCTTTATTCCACAGCCAAGAAGTCAAAACTCCACCAACAGACAACCTGCAGCCACTACCCCGAGGTAAGAACAATATTTATCTAGTGCTCTCACTGTGACTGATTGTCAGTTCCGCTGACCCTTATATAAATCTATAAATCCATCAACCCGTACCAAAATATACTTTGAGACACTTTCCTCATGTTTGAAAAAAGAAAATATTCTACTAAAAGCAGTTGAAATTTATTTTTTTTATACAAATAAAAATACATTGACAATTTCAATAAAAGTAACAAACATTTTTTGTTAAAATAATTAATAGTATATTATTATTAAAAATTATTAAAATTCAATTTGCCAGGGAATTTTTGTCATACCTTTTACTGCTTCCTGCGAGGACCTCGCTCTGATGTTATTTTAACGCAAACTAAATTTTCAGCCCCCGGACATCAACAGTGGGTCGCCCAATTGGTTTGCGAGCCCCGCAAAACTCACCGTATACAACTCCATCACCTCCGGTTCAACATAATAAAAATTCAGTTCTCGACAAATTCAAACTCTTCAATAACAAGGACAAAAACCAAGATCGCTCGAAACAAACGTCTTCCGGTGTCTCAAAACGAACCTCCAGCTCATCCGGATTCTCATCGGCTCGCTCGGAGCATTCCGACAGTTCAACGTCACTCTGCGACCAAAGTAAACCTCAGTTGGAAGTGCCGAAAGCGAAAGCCCTCAAATCAAAACTTCAGGCGAAACCTTCGAAACAAGTGAGTCCAAAATCGGCCCGAAAGGAGCAGGCCAAGGCACAAACAAAAATCGCCAGAACGAAAGGATCAGAGAAATTTGTTTACAATCCTTCAGCCGACGATGTTAAAACGAACAGTAAAATCGGCAATATCGGAGTAAAACTCAGTGGCGAAAAAAGGGTCTCTATCGATCTTTTGAAACAACCGTCACTTATTCAGAAAACTTGTCTTCCACCGCCAAAGACTCTTCCACCTCAGGAAAGCAAGTGTCAGCCTGCCGCGAAAATTGAACCAAAATCAATTCAGAAACCGAAAATGGAATTTTCCGCCAAGATTTCTGATCCCAAGATACATCTCAAGTCTCCAATCAATGGAATAAATAAGGACATTCTCATGCAAAAGGATCTAGTTTCTAATTCAGACGTTATCGATCGAGACCTGAAAGAGAAGGCGATGAATCAGACAAATCAAAGTTTGTCCGAGGAGAAAGCCATAGAGATGACAAAAGACAAGCCGATTTCCATCCAAAGTTTCGACTCAAAAACTAACGATCTGATAATAGAGAAGAACGAATTGAATGATTCAATGGAAAATAAAAGTAATTCCGAATACAAAGCGATCAATTCAGATGAGATGCCTGTTCAAATTCCTAATAGTCCTTTGAATAAACACGTTCTAAACAGCCCTCCAAGTTCGAACCTCGCACCGGGAATTAGTCCAGGATCGAGCATTCCAAAACCCACGGCTTTAGTAAAAGGAACCTCGAAACCGCCGAAGGAGAATAATGTGCCGAACATTCCGACACCAACGAAACACAAAAGCGATACGCTACACCGGAAACTCGATCCAAATACGGTAGCGATGGTCTCGCCAATGCCCAGCATCTCCGATCTTATGTCGGAAAGTTCGCACAGTAATTCTAATAGTACTGGACAAAGCAATTCGAGCGACAGCAGCGTCATTTACAGACCGAGCAGCGAGAGTGGAAGCGAGATTAAAACCATTCCCAACAGGAAGATCGACACGACCTTTGAGCAAATGGAGAAGGTCAGTGACTCTGTCCTCAGTGTGATATTATCGTTATTATGGCCAGAACTTAAAACAGATCAATCTTCTTTATAATTATACACCGTTCGGTCGAAGGTGTAATTAGAGAGTAGGTCCTCCCTCTCAACTACCTGAACAATGTTTAGGTCAGTCGCGTGTTGAGTTTGCGCTTCCTACAGTTTGTCGAACGATTAATTAGATGATAGGAAATTGTAATTAGTTTATCAATTACCATATCATACTCTTTCTATTTGCATGTTGACGGATTTCGGAGGTTATGAGTTTCACATATATAAGACACATTTGAATGTGCATGGTTATCGATATTTTCATCATTTTTCTTTCATTTTCTTCATGGAGAATTTTTTAAAATAATGTAGTGTTTTGTTGGGTCCTTCATTCTTATAATACATAGATTTTTTGCAGCCATTTTAGAAAATTCAATTCAATATAAATTCTATAGTTGATAAAATTGGTAACATAGAAATTGGAGCTTATTAATTTCGACAACAGAAAAATTCCAACAAATTCATTGTGGGGAATATTCATGCGTCCCGAAAAAATGAAGATATACATTTAATAAGTTTGATAGGTATGTTATCAGTGATCTCTCAACTTATCATATAAGAGAACCTAATCTTATAATTCAACAGAGAGGTGTAATTACGAAAATGTTCCCACCTATCAGGCGATAAATCAAAACTAATCGGACTGTGCTTTCCACAGGTATTATCAGAGAGTTCGACCTGCGGCGGTTCGATCGCAGACGACGAGGCGGAGATGACCGTGAAACCAATGCAACCTCTTCTTCGAGGATACACGCCGGGTTCCCGAGGTCTGCAGACCCTGCCGAGCAGAACAACCACTCGACAATATACAATTCTGCATTCCACGTCACATCATCACGTTGGACACGACTACGCGGACATTGACATCGCCTCAGGTTACCTCAGCGACGGAGAAGTTCTTCGTAGTGGAATGAACGTTGCCAGCAGGACTCTCTCCGATTTATGCGATGGTTACATGTCCGAGAGCGGCGCCTCTCTCTATGCCCGCCGGATAAATTCGTCGTATGGACACGATCACGAGAGGTAAGTGCACGACATTGTCGAATAGTCTCTCTGTCGTTTCGGCACGAATTCAGATAACATCTACCGAGCTATGACTAATTCGTGGCTCTCTCAAACAAAGTGGGACGAAAAGTATACTAAATAAAAAATATTTTCTTAAGCAGATAATTCCAGGCAAGTGTTGATAATCACGAATCCCTTTGTTCTCCCAAACAAGGGCCGATAATGGCTATACTTTTGCCGTGTAATCACTATATGCGTAAGGAATCTCAGATATAAAAATAATAGGCCTCGGATTGTGAAGACTCAATTTATTAAACTTCTAAGTCGAAATTATACTAGTTTTTTTAAAATTTTGTCAAAGAAAATATCTTGGTTTTTCTCTTAATTATGTAAAACGTATTTTAATAACATCATAAAACGTTACTGGACAATTTACGTTACAACAATTTTTCATCCAGAAATTTTTTTCTGAACATTTTGTCATTCTGAAATCTTTTGAGGAACTTTTTTTCATCTTTCTAAAAAAATTTTTTTTGCTAGTTTTTGTTCAACCCTGATACACTAACTTTGAACTACTTTTTCCACTAAAATTTCTTTTTATTACAAGAAAAGAGCCAAAAGTCTAATAATGAGTTTATAAACTTTCTTTTCGTACTTTCAAGCTTCATTGCAGTTTTCCGGACAGTGTCTAACGGTTTATTTCATCATATTCAGTTTTTGATATTCGCCTCTTGTAGCTGTAAAGTAAGATTAAGTTTGAAATTCGTTCGGTAGAACGAACCGGATATGACTAGAAGCACGACTAGACATTTTGCTGATGGTGGTTTTCTCGGGATTACTGTACCAAATGCGAAATCTGCGATGTAACTCTGGTACGCAAGCGGTCTTTAATTAGACGAAATTTGTGAGGCTGATTTCTCCACGTATGTCGACTCACATCGTATGCGCGCGTCCAATTAATCAAACCTGTCAGCTGACTTTGGTCGTGATGGCCCCCTGGATTAATTCATTCGTATTAACTAAATCCTCCCCAGGAACGCTTAATTAACTCAAAGGTACGTGACATCTTAGTTCAACCACGTAAAGCTGCTGTTTTTTTGTTTTCTTCAATATTAATTTGGTTAATATTGAACCAAATTTCAATTAACTATAATTAGATTAATTTCTATCAACGAAGGTAGTTTTTTTAAACAAAAAATTTATTTCTCTTGCTGTTCATTAATTGACAACATTTTCAAGATTTATAAAGTGTAACTTTTAAATGTAGTAAGTTTTTAATGAAATATTATGATTTTTATAATACAACCCATGGCAAGTATCACGTTAGAATAACCGTATATCACAGTAATGTTAAATTACAAAATTCGTAATGTTACAGTATGTAATTTTACAGGGAAGTTACAGTTGCATTAAAATGAAGTGGGTAAAACGAAACAGACATGTTTTAAAAATAAGTATTTAAAGTTATTAAAAACCGTTCTTTATAAAATACGTATGAAAAATATTGCATCTTCTTCGCAATCAGTTGAAGAAACGCGATATATTCCAATCTAACATATAAATCGAATAAAATCATGGAAAGGTAAAATACAATATCTTTGATTATTGGTATTTCCGTCTTCTCTTTAATCAAACTTAAAGGGATTTGGTAAAAGAGAATCGATATATGAAATAAGTTATTGACAGAAATAGAGGAAATAAGAATTTCCGAGTGGGTCATGCAAGATAATCCTGATTAGATCAGCAAAAGGATTCGAAATCTTTCCTTTTCCGTTCTCTGAATGGGCAAGACAGTATCACCCTTATAGAGTTTTTGATATTCGACGTCAGTTGGTGAAAGCGTTGTTTTCGCTGAGGTTGAAAACTCCCCTTTTACGTTGCGTCCTAACTCGATTGGAGAAAAGCAAGCCGCGTATCATCCACTTGAAACCCGACGCGCTTTTCGGAAATTCAATATAGTCGCTCGCTCTGCCCTCTTTTCGAACCCCTTACCCCCCTTTCTTTTGTCACCCTACGCTTCTTCCAAGAGCCCTTGCATAAAATGTGAGCACACAATAAAGACAAGGCCGGGCATATTTCAACTATTACGTATTATTGTCAGTGGAATCCATTAACGACCAAAAAAAAGCGATTCTTAAATCCCATTTGACTTGGAGACATTCAGATGGTTTCCTGGACATGCCCATTAAATTTGCGACTAAGTTCTTTTAATTGAAATTAATCTAATTTTTTTCGACTTCTGCAAATGGGACGCGGCGCATGCATTTCCCTTAACCCCTTAAGGACGGGAAGGAAAATTAATGGTTAGAATTTTCATTTTAAAGAATTTTAATGGATATCATTATTTTTTAAACAAATTTTCAATTGTTTTTTTCAATTTCAATTGTTTGTTTGTACATTTGCAATTTCTGACAAATGGAAATTCGACCTTCTAAGAATTCTATCCAATAAAAATTCCGACAAAAAAAGATTCGGTGAGTTGGAATTCTGGTACAATTTAAAAATTCGAATCACTTAAAATTCTGTTGAAGGAGAATTCTGCTAAATTAATATTCGGTTCATTAAGAATTTTTTAAATTCAAAACTGGATATATAAGAAATTATGTAAAATAAAAATTTAAAGAAATTCAGTGAAATGCTAATTAATTCGAAAAGTGAAAATTCGTGTGAAAACTAATTATATATTTAATAAAATTCTTTGAAACCATTATAGATAATAATTTTTGATAATAATAATAAGTTCTGTAGCAATTTGATTTAATGAAGATTAGAAAGAATATATATAACGTGCTAAATTTGAGAAAACTGACTAATTACAAATTTTCACGGTAATGACACTTGGCGCTAGTGTCATTATTTCAAGGATTCAAGGCTAGGTTTAGGGCTCCATTTTTCTTACACACACTTTAAAACTTGCATTTGTATGTATACGTCATCGTATATGCTCATTCTAAAGTACATATTATATACCATTTTGTTATTAATTTTGATAATTGGTGTTTAAAAACATTTTTGAGGAATTCGAGAATGGCCAGTTTCTTGCAAGAAAGGTAAAAAATATATTATATATTGGAAGCTACTTATAAGCTTAGAAATTAAATGTTGATTTTGGCATGCGTATATAAAGTGTAAAAGAATAGAGATGTCTTAACGTGACGTCACCCCGGTCGGTAAAGTCACAGAAAGTAGAGCGATTACCACCGTGGCCTCAAATTTCTATTGGCTTATATGAGAGATTTCAGAAATTAATTGTTTTCTCTGAAAATATAAAAAATAATTTATGATATAACTATTTTTGTTTCGAATAAAGTAGTAATTTATGCAATATACATAATTTCTTATATAATTATGTCATCAATGTCTCAAAGATAAAAGAATAATAAAAAATAAGTTCTAGCAGAACTAGCAGAGGAGAATTTCGTCTGCTAGAACTGATTTTTTGTTATTCTTTAATCTTTGAGACATTGATGATAATGATATATCGATTCAAAAATCTTTCATCGCGTTGTATTCGAGTAGGTACTTTCTAAATTTGAATTTGCTCACATTTATTTTAAATTAATAAAAATTTCTAATTTCAATTAGTATGGATTAGTTCTCCAATTCAAATTAGTATGAAATTTTCAAAGTTAAAGAGTATAGTCTTTGATTAATCGAAAAAAATGTAGTTATTGATTTAGAAATATTGTTTCCATTTTCAGAATAGATTCATATGCTTTTATAAACTCATCATCCAATAATGGGCTTGCGAACCGTTTCGGAAGAGAAATGCAAATAAAATCGAAGCATAATGCAGAATGTTTATTTGGAAATACAAAAATCTCAACTTTCAAGCCACACGTTAAAATTCCCGTCTCAACGGTTTATTTAATCGACATATGTAAAACTTTAATAGCTGAGCTCAGGGATCATTGCAAAGTTGCAATGGAAGTTACCGACTTGAGTACATTAATCATTGTAACCGTTCTTCAAATAGAAGCAAAAGTGAGAATAGCGACAAAATCCAGTGCTTATAACACATTTGATGGTGAACTTGACTACAGAGTGGAAAGAACAAAAGATTCCCTTCCAGTGTCGTTGTTTCCTTTATCGTTCTACATCGATCAAATTGGTAAGGTTGATATCCAAGGCCAAACAATTGTACCAGAGCTCATTGACCTCAAATACGAAAATATATCGAAATATGCAGAGAGAGCGGGACTGACGATTTTACCGTCTAATGTTATATCGTTGCCGGAAGGAAATTCTCTAACTGGAGCCAATCAGTGGGTGCGCATTCTTAATAAATCTGGTGCAATCGAGAAGGGAATTATTGAGCCAAAAGACAGTGGATTTTCATTAACAAAAGAGTTTATTGAAAATCCAAACAACTTCAACTGGATTGGTATCCTATTCATCGAACCACCTCGGAATGTCGTATCTGATTTTAAGGAACTGAACAATCGATACTTTAATTTTATTGATAGGATCAATGAGAAGCTTCTGAATGCTTTCGCTGAAGTGGATTACCATGAGGCAAAGGGAACAGCAGCACAATTGGTTACTTCTAAGTTTCTTAATTTCGATCAAAATATTACAATGTATAAAGTATGGAGTACACGATTTGTCGATGATCATTCACTTGAAGTTGGTGGATTACTTCGTTTTGGATTTGATTTAGAAGATTCTGACGTCTCGCGATCAGGAGAATTTAGATGCTGCGAATCATTTATTGAGGCTCAGTCGCCACTGAGGGAGTTTGTTCAAAAAGTGTTTAAATATTTGCGTAAAAATTTAATACAAAGTAGTTGATAATTTATGCATTCATAACTCAAGTAAATATTAAATTAAACCCACAAATTCGCGATCTTTTGAGTTGTCATTGTTGTTTTTTTCAAGTTTTGTAATTTGGAAAATGTATATTTTCATCAATGAATATTTTATAAATAATTTGTATCTTTCTTTAAACTTCTGAGATAGCTATACCTAATTTGTTTAAATCCAAACAACTCTATCTGAATATTTTTCAAAATATGATCATTTTCCAGAATAATCTGTAATATGTCGACCTAAAAATAATACATACCTTGAAACGTTGAATGTGTATAACAATAACAGAAACGTTTCTCAAATTATCAAACAAAATTGTGAAAACCTGCAGAATGATAAGCAAGGTCTTTTGTCATGCCTTTATGCCATTATGCCTTAAGCTTAAAAGTTCGAAAAATCGCTTTTGTATAAAAGGTTACAGAATACTTCTTCCCGAATAATAGTTCTCGTTGGCAAAAAAGAGAATCTAGCTTTATCGAACGGATGTGCATCTTCGAGTCTAGACGCCTTGGCACCGAATAGTGATAACTGAGAAATAAAGTCTATTTAGTGGCGATTGGTATAACGCTACATGATAGATGCTGGAAAATCTGCCATTTTCTTCCTTTCATTTGAAATAATTGATTTTCCAATATTCAGTAAAAGGAATTTGAAGATTTGTCAAATATATGTATATCTATCTCCACTTTCTAAACTGTACAATTCGAATTTTATACTTTTATAAAAGCAGCGCAATGTACTATTCTATCTGTTTAAAAATAAATGTATGTGTTTCATAAAAATTAAACTTAATTTTAATATCGATTGTAAGAAAATATACTTAGCAGACTGTTTATATCAGTTTCTCTATAGATTACCGATTTTTCAGTTAACAGAGATTAAGGATTTTCATGAAACATCTTTAATAAAATTTCTGCTTAATATAATTAAATATTCATTTTGTTAAAATTTGTTATTTTCTCTTTCCGCCTGAAAAAGGATTCGACAATAAAAAGATTTATTATGGTCAAGTAATTGAAAGTAGGTAATTTAATTTCCAAATTCAATATAATGTATTTAATTTTCATGTTTTGAAAAGTCGATAACGTTACGCGTTTGTTGTAGTAGACGTAATAACAAGGAAGGGTGTCAGATGGAGCCAGTTCGAGGAAGGAATCGAGGATTAGAAGGTGGTTGATCCGCAGGTTTCCTTTCAGGGACGTAAAAAGAATCCTCTCAAAAATTTACATTAATTAGAGTCGTTCATTTAACATCTCAATATCTCCTATAATGTAGAATGTTATTTCAATTTTTTTCAGTTTTGAAAAGATATTCAGTCTTCTAAGTCTGTTCAGGAGGAAGAAACTTTTCTTGTATATGAAAAGAGTTGAAAATTATCAAAGATCTTCATTATCGCTTATATCGATTTAAATCTAAAATAAAATCAATTGATTATGATGAACTTATAGATGACTTTGCATTCATATATGCATGCGTATCTTACCCTTAAAGGGGCGGCAAAATTACGGTAGTTTACAGTAAAATTATTCGTATATCCCGGTACTTTGATACCAATTTAGGTATCAAAAAATGATCCCAATATACCTTATATCGGATCAAAACGTTGCATGAGTTGATCGTATTTACGGCATCAAGAAACTGTGTATTCAAAGAGTTTTTTTTGTTCTTTGTTCATATTAATAATGTTGATCAAGGGGAATTTGAAAAAAGACAAAAATAGAAAAAATTCTTTGTTATTTTATAGATTTGATTTTACAATCTCTTTCTGATAAGAGAAATAAATTTTTCGCCTTTGTTGGTGAAACTGCAACAGTGTTAAAGCCGAAATTCAATTTTATTTGCAAAAAATATGAACATTTTCTTGGCGCAGAAAATCGTTGGACATATTGGGGACAAGAGAGAAAAAGGGTGCGATTTTTTTTCATCAAGAAAATGAAATTCTTTACGCAGTCACCCTAATACCGGGTGACCTAAAGAACTGAATTAACAACCCTCTTCGTTTGGTACGATCCTGGGGGTGTTTTCGGAGTCTTGGCTCGACTTTGAAGCCTGCGTGTTGCAGGCAACCGTGACGTCATTTGGATCGATCCGCCGGCACCGGGAGTGCTGCGACCTGCTGGCGACATCCGGCAAAATAGGAAGGGTGGTTTTTAAGGCATCGTAGTTTGTAGAGGGGTAGCAATAGCAGAATGTGCCGGGCAAGGGATGCTCGCTCTTTCTAGAGTAGGTGGGCGGGGGTGGTGTCTCGTCGAACGAGAACCAAAACCAACGGAAAGTCGGTGTTTGCCGATAGTTCTCCGGGGGTGAACCGACGGATTCACATAGTCTTCAAGACTACGAGTCAAAGTTTGCAGGTCAATTAGCGATGACGACGTTAAGTTTTTTTACACAATTTTTTTACCGCGATCTGTGCGTAAACGAAAAAGGGCTTGTCGTCTTTTCTCATTGTATGCGTGTATGTGCCGAGTGCCAGTGCGTGAAACATTTGTATGTATAGAGTGACTTGTGACAAAATCGAAGAAAGGTTCCTTCAAACTGACAAGAATAAAGGTAAATTTCATTTGATATCCTATACGTGATTTCCGGTATAACATACGGAGTCTTGTCACCTCGACCCTAAAAGTCTTTAACCCTTTCAAATTATTTGGATAACCGGGAGTATTTGCTTCCCAATCCGAGTCAGAAATGAATAATTGGATTAATTATTCATTTTTTAATGTGGAATTTCAAATTTCTTTTTTTTTATCTGGATTGTACGTTTTACACCCTGAGAAATATCTTATTGGCGTTTTTAATAAGAATTTCTTTTTTAATTAATTTTTTTCATTTACTATTCTTTTGTGAATGGGGTTTTTCTCACTTTAAATTTTATTATTTTATCTAATATTTCCATAATGATCTAAGCAGCAATCTCACACTGAAAAAAAAAATTTATTTGATTCAAATAATCGGTTACTTGACTATTATCAAATAAATATTAAATTAATAAATAAATTATGTATTAAATAACTACCCCATTGTATTTGTTTCAAATATAGAAATTATTGGTCCAAATACGATTTATTTAATTCAAATAAAAATTATTTGATTCAATAAATATTTAATTAATATTTCATAAATAAATAAATAATGTTGAATGAATAGTTCGATATTCTATAAAATAGTATAAATGAGCCTTTCAATATTCTATAATTCGCCCGACGCTCGGACGAACGCTCTAATGGTAGTCGGGTAGCAGCGGGAGAGCCATTGACGCTCGCTGCTACCCGACTACCAATCGAGCGTCCGTCCGAGCGTCGGGCGAGTTATAGAATTGGGAGGCTCAAATAGTATAGATTATAATTCTTGTTTATTTAAAAATATTTTATTATTCTCACAGGTGTGGAGACTTTTACAAAAAAGATAAATATTAAAGATATATAATTGAATGATGAATGTTTATTTCACGCTGTGACACACGTAATTTAGAGACCCCACATATTATTGTCAGTCGCAATCGATTCGTCAAAACTAATTTCCGAGTCTACTCGCTTCGATAAAATGCAACTGTTTATCAGACCCGCTTACTTTTATTTAATCGGTTCGATGCTGGTCTGGATAAATGGAGATGAATTTATTCCGATCCTCATTTAGCTTTCATTTGATTAACGTCGAGAGTTTGTCACTTTTTTTCATTTAAAGCTGATAGAAAACACTGTCCTAAAAAAAGAAAAAACATTTAAAAAACAGAAACATTAAAAATTTTTTGTTTTAAATTTAAAACAGTTAAATATCACAATACAATTTTTTTTTATTTTTTATTTTACATAATAAACAGACTTACAACGTTAAAATGCCCTTTCGTACAAGATGTACTAAAGATTTAATACTAAACTAAGAAAATACAAAGTGAATGTAATAAATTGAAAAATTACAGCAAAATAAGGAAGTACGAGAGTTTGTGATTTTTATGAAATGCAGAATGGGCTAATGATCTAATTTAGCTAATAGAACAATCTCTAAACCATAATCTTCTCCCCTCAGCATTTTAACACCCTCGGGGAAGTTTGCTTTTGAATTAACACAAGCAATGGTTCACTTTACAATGGAGGTCTTTAACTAATTTCCTTTTACTCTTGGCCCCTATAGCTTTTCTCATTTTCCTTTGTTTTATAACTATCTTGAAACTATTCTGCTTTTCGAAGAATATAGAACCCAATTTATTATCTTTTTTTCCTTATATAACTCATCTTGAAACTTTTATTTCCTTCTTTGTATTCTCATCTTTTCTCTCTCATATTTTTTTATTTTTATTTTCTAACCAAAATGTATAATGATCTATAACATATTCATAAGGCTTTGATCAGTAGGAAACGTGGGCAAATACATGTTAATATATAATGAGAGCAAGGAAAGTTTGGTCTACTTTCAATGAATGAATTTCTCATGAAGCTTCAATTTTCCTCTGGGAATGATGGTCCTTTTATTTTTATGAATATTTAAAATAAAAATATCTAAACTCGAGATCGATGCATCAAAGGAAGAAAATGAAGCGCATATAGTAGAGTTTTGCTTTAAACCGTTTCTTATAATAAAGTTTCTTGAATGCTGCGGCAAACTCTAATAACCCTATGGTTATTATAGGTGTCTAGCTGGAGGCAATGGAATTATTAAAGCTCCGGTTTCAGTGACGTATGAGATCGTAACAATGGCCAGAATGCCATTAAAGTTACCGGCTTTCCAAAATTGCAATTTTCTTTTGACAGTGTTATGTCCTCATTAAACCAAAATCTTTAAAAAAAAAAAATTGATACCAAAAATATCAAATTGATACTTTTAAATTAGTGTGTAAAATTTGATTTATCTGTTAAATATTAATTAAAAATTTTATGCATTTTATAAAGAATAACTTAAAAATTTCAAAATTATTTATTTTTAATTGTTATAATATTAATAATATATTGATAAAATGTTTAGTTTGGAGATAAAATATTCACATATTATATGCGTTTAATCTTAATAAGTTCGGTTTTTATTAGTATTAGTATTGATGAATTTGATTCTGATGTCCAGTTCATATTTTCATTTGATATAAGCGCGCTTTTTCTTGACAATGAGAGAGTTATCGTGGCGCAAGTGCGCAGTTGATTTTCGATATACGGTCATTGACAACTGTGTCGTATTTGAATAATAATAATAATATAAAGAATTATATTTCGTAAAAAGTATTCAAATAATATTAATAAGGACCCTTAAAGCATGTACAATGAATAGAGAGATAGTTTTCCATGCAATTAACTTTCGCCACAGTTTTTAGGAGAGGTTTATAAAAGTATCACTTTCGCCACATTTTTGAACTTGGAAACTTCTCGTTTTAGAGAAGGGGTTGAAGAAATAGGATTCAAATTTTATCTATAATATTTTGCTGTTGGCTTCAGCCAATCACGATCACAGCATATACGCTGATGATAATCCATTTGAAGAAATTTATTTTCAGAGAGTCTCATGTTCCTTTTCGCAAATTTTGAATTTAGAGATTTAATTAGCAATAAGTAAATATCAACATAGCTTTCATAAAGTATAGTTAATGAAAGTCGATATGGTTACAGATTCGTGAGTGGCTCGAGGAGAGAATTAACAGGAGTAAAGGAAATTGTTACCTCGAGGAGAGTTCAAAAGAGGCCAACTGCAGGAATTAGATCTGATGAAGGATCTGGGCACCAGAGTGGTTTACTAGGAAGTTGCAGTGGAGGAAGTGACGCCCTGGCGGAGCTCACTATCGAGGACCTGGCCTCTATCCCAGCCAGCAACCATACCGCCGCTAATCACACTGGACACCCCTCTCACCACAAGGTAATTTATTTCATCAAAAACTATCCTAATTGTTTTAATTCCAGGTTTTTACATATTTTTGTTACTCTGTTTTTTTCTAATAATATGAGAATTTTTAAATAATTTCAAAAAATTTATTTTTATTTATTTAATTTTTATCCGAGTTCTACACCTTACGGGTTAATTTACGGTCTTCGATAAAGATCTTGTAATTAATAGGGAAAGTTGAGCTTTTTTTTAGTTGATTAATCTCTGGGATTAACTAAACAGAGATACAGTGCAATCATGTGCAGGGAACAAATACCTATGGCTGATAGACTCAAACCCAGTGCGCTCGTTGCATCAGCAAGTAACGACCCTCGAAAGTTCGCTCCAATGTGATAGTTGGATAGATTTTACGCTCGTTGATAAAGTCTCAATAAATTATAATGGTAATTAAACCCGTTCAAACGATCGCTCGACACGCAACTGGTGCGCATGGTGACAATTACTATTTTGCATTGCAACAAAAAACAGTAGTCCACGGTTGCAAAATCAAAAGTATTATTGTGTCAGCTGCGTTAAATGGCAACTGTCGGTTTTGTATTCTCTTTTCATTTTCCATTGAAGGGGTAGAGAGAGAGAGAGAGAGTTTATAATTGTACCAGGTGCCATTGGTCAGATATAGTCTCTTTTAATCAAAGCCGAGTGTCAATTCAGCTTCTCTTTGAAATCGATACTTTTCTATTCAACTGTACCAATCCATTAAAATTTTTCTTCTGTTCTCACGAGTACTTTCATTTCAATTGATTGTCATTCACTTTGTGACTTCTCCACGTGATTTCTTAATTTATTAAGTATCAAATCGTATGGATACGGATCCAAAAAATGACAGTCATTAAAAAAATTAAAATCTAAATTTTAAACTCCGATGAAAATTTTACATTAAAAAAATATTTCGTCCATCTAAAAACGCAGATTAGCATGAATTCGTCCACTAATTTGCGTTTTATCGTTCAACAATTTTTTTACTGTCATAATTATAACAACTTAAGGCATCAATTTAAGATGCCCACTTTAATAATTAGATTTCTATAGCAGACTTACTACTGTTTTTAGATATGAGATTATACACGGAATCATTGAGTGACACTTTATTTTAGAGAAAATTAACTTTTTCTGCCTTTAAAGTCGCCCGTAGATCAAATTTATTCAAATTACTCCAACATAGGACAAACTATGGTAAGAACTCTGTTCTCAATAGAATATATGTAAAGAGGCAAATGCGTTTAGTAATAAACGATAAACTTGATTTTTTCGAGATATCATTGTCATCTTTTAAGTCAGCGCTCCGTAAATCAATTGTTAGTTACGACATTGCATTAACCTATAACATTGATTGTCTTTTCTTAGTTTAGTTTAATAACAAAAAATTAAAGACAATTATACAAAAAAATTAAAATTAAAAATACAAAATAATATATAAAAAACGTAGAAAAATAATAACAAATTAGAAAAGAACAACTCTTGTGTTTTTACAAGTTTCAATAAATGTTTGTCTGTGAATGCTTTTTGAATCATGACTTGAATTACTTTTAGCAATGTCCTTCTCTTCTATTGTATCTCCTTTTAATTTCAAATGTTTAAAATAAAATCTCGTTATTAGTTCCAGAGAATTCTGTAACATATTTTTATTTTTCGTTTCGAAACTTTTGTTATAAAAATTTTTTTAATTAAAATCCAGTTTTCTATACAACGAAAGGTAAAAAAAACGTTTGAAAAAAATTTATTTCAGAAAAGTTTGGCGGTTCGTTGTTTTTAAACATCCTGTTAGTATACTAGTGCAGTATTCATTAGTAAATTACTTCTTGTAGAATGGATTTCATTTTTGATTCGAAGGGACTTTTGCTGTTTTTTTTATTTTATTTTTTGCCCTCTAATATTTCGTGAGGGGTCTCATTGGCGAGCCTTGAAACTTAACAGATACTCTTCCTTTTCAACTACACACGTATAAAATCCACATACAAAGTTTTGTTTAAGGGGTTCCTTTCTTCATTCCTTTTCCTCGTGTTCATTCTCTCTGCATTTCAATATACCCTTCTTCTGCCTGATGGTCTCTCCTAATTTTCTTCCCTTTTGTTTTCAGGGAAATAATACGACCTCCAGATTGCGTCGGCAGTGTCCATTTTACTCATCTTTCTCTTTTCATAGCCTTATCAATTTTGCCTGCTTCCCTATTTTTCCGACTCGGAATATCACTGCATTTTATGCTATTAATAAAACTGCAGATCTCGTTTTATGCAGAGCTTATACATTATACTATCTCGCTGCAAATAAAATTCAAACTTTATGCTGAAAAAATATTCCTTTGAAATGTGGAAAATTCTCTTTCAGTGATATTTCTCAATAGCTTTTTTCGATATCTCAGTAAAGAAAAATATTTTATATCTTAGTTCAATTATAATTTAATTCTATTGTCAATTACAGTTTAATTGACGCTCAATTGATTTCAACGGTAACTTGATCTACTTTTCAGTAAACTTTTCTTCTTTGTGAAAGAAAATTGCGAATTTCATTGAATTTGTAGTGAATTGGCTATATCGATTAATCATCGTCTATTTTCTCATCTTTTTAGGGCCTCTGCCGTCATCAGAGATAAGTCGGTCGGATAATGTAGCCGGAGCAACATTTTGACCCCTTTCAGTATAACTGACTATTCACGTACTGCTATAGACGTGTACTTGTGCTTTTAAGTTCAAAGGTTGATCGTCCGTAATCGTAAAAGCTCTTATAGTGCCTCGACATGAAGCTCATAAGAATCCTCGACTCTCTTTAGAAGAACGTCCAGCAAGACGATCCTATATTGAGTAACCGAGAAAGACCGATGACGAAGGTTATTGTCGTTCAATTCCTCTCGCTTATAGTCTCTTTACTTTTTACGTCCAGAGTTCCTAGCAATTTCTATATTGTATTTCCCCGTCGTTGCTGAAATAGGAAAAGGAAAATAAAATAGCAAAATCGGACGAACGCTCAGGGATCTTGTCAAGCGTCCATTAGTTTTTATATCTCTTATAACAACCGCCTTAAAGGTTTTGAGGACCGACATTTTTTAAATTTTATACTTTTCTGTAATTTAAAGCCCAATTGAATTTTATTAGCTTTCTGATTTTTAGTTAATATTTTTCAAACAATAAATTTTTAAGAGTATAAAAATTAAGTCTATAATAGTTGATTACATTGAAATTTTTTTTATCTTTATGTCAAAATTATAATTAAGATTCAGAGCTCCCGGTCTAAAAATAAAAATATTGTTACCGTAGAAATTAGAAGAGCTTTTTATGATAAAAGTTTATCAAAATGTTTGTTCAACAGAGTGCATTGTTTCTTTTTGAAGTATAGAGGCCGAAAAATGCAAAGCAGAAGAGAATGTCGCTTATCTTTTTGGATCAAAGATTCGAAATCCCACTCGGCATAGCGATTACGAATTTGCAAGGTTGTTGGCGGAAAGTATGCACTATAGATCCGCGTTTAGCTGAAGGATTACCAACGAGCGGATTACGGAGCACGATAGGGTAATGTAATGGCACTCTGAAAAGCAAAGCCGCTCAAGTTCTGTCTTGTGTTGAATATATAGGCTCTGGCTCGCAGTAACTACGCACACCGTTATTATTTTACCGTGATATTGATTCCATTGGACGACCTGCCGTGACCCTACAGTATAACTCAAGACCACTACGTTTCTAATCTTTAACTTCTTCACTCTTCCAGACTCTGCACGTATATACATATAGACGAAGAATAAGGAGATTCCGGGGACGTCGTTTGTCGGCGTCTCCTGAACTAACTTAATCCTTGGATCAAGATCAAGGAAATTCCAAGTTTTTATTTTATTCGGTAATTTCTTAACACAAAAAAATGCAAAATTCAACAGTAATTTTTATTCATTTTTCCACATTATTTCCACTCACTATGAATTTCTATCAAATGACAATTACTTTCTTAACATTTTCTTATAACAATATATAAGTGCATATAAGTACATTGAGTATTGAGATTGGTTTGATTGTAAAATTGACGCTCAAATTTTCATGGCAGTTAAGAATTCCAAGTGAAATTCCACTCACCTGGAAATTTTGGATAAATAGGAAATGAAAAAGTTATTGTAGAAATAAGTAAAGTAATAATATGTGACAGTCCCCGAGAGAAGGGACCTTAGCTCACCAAAACGAATTTCACAGGGCAAGCGTTTGAAGAAGAAGCAGAAACGCGGAACTCGAAGAGTGGGGCGGAACTTCTGAAAAGTTCCCCCACCACACTAACACAACGTTGTGTTTCTGTATACGTGAGCTTCGTCTACTTCGTGTATCTTCGGGTCTCACGTACGCGAAGCTCACGTACGCGAGAGTATAGTTGTGTAAGTAAAGTAGTGGGGCTGATTTCTTGAGTGCCACAATCCGCCTCGAAATGCGCTTGACATACCCATCTTCAAAATGTTATTGTGTCAAAAGCAATTATCCTAATCAGTTTTTAAATTTTGCATGTGAAAAAGCAATTCAAAATCTATCATTTACCATATAAAACTCAATATTGACCTCTGGTGAGCTAAGGTCCCTTCTCTCGGGGACTGTCACATATGACCTGGAACTCAATAAGTGTGACCTTTATTTTTTAACATGTTAAGTAGTAACGGAGACGAAAAAGGAAGATGCGAAATATATTGCTTACAAATGAGGATCGTAAAAACGCTTGAGACTATAGTCCATAGAAGGGAGGGTCGTAAAACGTTCTTTTTTTATGACACTCGGTATTGATAGGTGCATTCGGCGGTGGTTGGTGTAGGTGGGGCATTATGACCAACGAGCAATGGATCGCTTACTAACACCGGCAGTTTGTGTTTCGCATTCGAGCATTGCGTATACGCATCCTGGACACCTGGGGTTACTGCCCCTTATTTTTGTCCGATCCAAATTACGTTACCCTTCAACTTTGTGTTGGTCCGTGTTTACCAAAGTGACCTAAATATTTTTTAACCACTTTGTTTTAGTTATTCAAAAAATTAGTGATTTCAAAAATAGACAATTTATGTGTGTTTTATTGTAGTTTTTTATTTTAGCTAGAATTTTAGCAAGATTTTTTATTCAAGCGCATATTGTTATACAATTAGTTTGTTATAATAATTTTTAGTTGGAGGATAATCGAAAAACAATTATTTAAGATATATTGAAAATTTTTTTTTAGAAATTAGGTATATTTTTCTGTAAAATCTTCGCCTGGAACAGCGATAATTTTCTCTGGAATAGCTATATATTTCTCTAGAATAGCGAAAACTTTCGCTGTTTTAGTGAAACATATCGCTGTTCTAGATAAAGATTTTTTTGCATGAAGGAAAAATTATCTTTTGCGTTTTATATGAATTAGTTTTTTGTTGTGTTATTTTCTGTGATAAAAGTAATTTTATATATTATTTTATAAGCAAAAGTTACGGACTCAAAAAAAAGACTATATACATACTTTTGAAGGGATTGTAACTCAATACAATTGTCAACGAGAACTGAAAGACCCAAACAAGTTTCGCGAATTCAGAAATCACGTAAATTGAATTGCAGAAAGCAAGGATTTTTTGTGGTAAAAAATTCAGGATCTCGTGCTCTTGGCACTCACAGAGCAAGGTCGACTTCCTTCTTCCTGTTGAATTTTCTCGGAACTTTTGACACGCGAGACACGTTCAAATGGTCAATAAACCAGGAATACTGCATGCCTGTAAAAGATTGATACATGAATTACGGGATATCCTCAGGACAGGTCACTTTCAACGCGAATAAATTTTATACTTTCATTCGCGCTCTCCCCTCTCAAAAAAAAAATAAATAAATAAGTGATGGATTCCTGTTAATAAAAATAAACTTATTTTTTCACTCGTAAGGAAAATCGCATAAATTCGGATGGTGAGTTATACCGAAATTGAGATTTTCTAATAGAAATTGCCATTTTTGTAGGTTTTTATAATTTATTTATTAATTTCTACAAATTTTTCAATTTTATTTTATTGTTCTAGCAATATAAAATAGATTTCTTTCTTCATGGTCTTACACTTTTTGTAAGTTTCAAAATTTAGAATTTTTTAACAATTTATCACACTTAGAAAAAAGGTTTGAATTAACAGAACCAACGTTTATTGTTACATCAACAAAAGTTTGGTTATCTCAATCAGCTTTTGATTTTGGTACTACCAAAATTTGGTTCGATTTTTGATTAAGTTATCTATTGTTTTAATCTCATGTGCATCGAATAGTAAAGATGGTTGGTTAATGTGGAACATGGTGGCAATACGAAGGAAACGTTATATAAAAACGAAAAAAGTGAAAGGTATAGGTCTATGGGGAGTCTTTGTTTTAGTTTCTATTGCTATGAGGAACATTTTACTACAGAAGTTAAAAGCTGAGCGGACATGAGCTGGTAGCTTCCTATTCCTACCCCCATGAATCATTCTCAACTAAGGCCAGCAGCAGGAGTTCACACGGCACATATACATACACACACATATATGTATAGGAAAACTCAGGGAGATAGATAAGCATGATAGACAAGAAAAGATATAGGGAAGTGGAATTACCACACCCTCCCCTTATTCGAAATACCGTGCGCACCCTCTGAATCATGCCTTATGGGGTTCCTGGCGTGTTGCTACATCTCCCGCGCGTATAAAATTCGAGAATCGATATCGTCGAGTTGACCTCTCCAAAAGTCCTTGACCGAGGTCACCAGACACTAATTAATGCGAAAGCTCGAAAACTTGAAAACTTTTACACGCTAAAATCGTCTCCTTTTGTCATTATATATGTATATACGGTATATTATGGATGCTTGAATTAAAACAAGAGTCGTTCAAATTCATAAGTTGCATAACGAGTTGTTGATATGTAACTGTGTGATTATCTTATTATTGGAGAAATTTCTTTTTTTAATTAGCCATAATTTATCCATCGATAAAGATGGAAGATTAATTAAATTTTAGTTATATTTTATTGAAAAAAATAAATATTAAAGAAATAATAAAATTATAAAATAAATAGTTAAGCAAATTAATAATTAAAGAATAAAAATAAAATTTTACAAATAAAAGTGCTATCACAAACATTTTTAAAATATTCAATTTTAATTAATAAACATAAATTTACATATATTCTTTCAAAGTAACAAGAGCTATTTAACGCGGATGTAAAGCAGTCTTAGATAGTCAAATGCATACATTTTCAACTTATACGTCATGATTTACGTGGTAATAAAATATTCAGCAGTTCAGACATCAGTTAAGACTCTTTGAGAAATCGATATTAAATTTAATATGCAGTAACATTTATTGCAAATAAAACTTGTCAAGAAATAGTTGAACACTTTCAATGTTAATCATTATTATTATTATTACATTTATTTTATTTTTATTTTATTTAGTGTAGAAATGAAAACATTCTGTTAAATAAATAATACGGAATATTAAACTTAATAAATAGTTGAAAATATATTTTCCTTTATAAATTATTTTCATTTTAAATACAATAATTCTTATCATACAATGCATTTATATCAAGTGGTTTAGAACTTCCAACACCTGTTGACACAGGAAACGTACTGAAAAACAGCTGACAATAATATAACTCAGAGTTAGGTTGAAGCCATAAGTTTCAATCGCTGAAATCAATATTTACAAACAATTTCAAGAAATTTGCAAATATTTTGTTATTTACAACAAAAAATTTAAAAAATTATTTTTTTCAATTTTCAAAAATATGAATTGTAAATCTTTGAAAATTCAATGGTGCATTCAAAAAATGTTATCTAAAATCGCAATACAATTATTTTAAAAAGTTTCAATTAAAAACTCTAAGATTGAATTATTGTTGTCAGAAAATTTAAAAAAAAATTTGAAGGAAATTTAAAATTTTTAATATTTATCAAGAAAATTTAACTGACACGGCAGAAAATTAAAGATTTGAAAAATGAGAAATATAAATTGAAATTTATGTGCGAGGGAGTTTGTTGTTATTTATAACACTTGACATACATATGTTATAGAGGGTGCCAGGAGGTGGTAGCGTGGTCGTGGGGGGTGGCAGTGGCTTGGCCACCCCCCAAGGGGTACAACAGGGTAACAACCTTGTCTACCGGGTGGTAAGTTCGAGGCACCCTGGTAGTAGTCATCATTCCCACGTCAAAAAGTCAGATAGTTCTCAGCAAACTGAAAACTCTGCTTTCAAACAGCAACAGCAACAGCAGCAGCAACAACAACAGCAACAGCAAAATAATTCCAACAGTATTTCCAACAGTCAACAATGGAAAAAGTATATCGAGGCAGGTGCAGCCAGAGACAGAGACAAGGAGGGTGCTCCCCCAAGTCCTAGTCTCTCCAGGCGATCACAAGTAAGTTGTAATTTTTTATTTACTAAATAAACAAATCTGTTTTCAATCCTTTGTTTTTCTCCAAAAATTCTATTATTATTATAAATAAATAAAATATAAAACATAATTATTGTATTTGAATGCAATTTTCAACTAAATCAATAATAGAATGAATTATTGTATTATCTTAAGATTTGAATTTCAAAGTTAAATTTTCTCTTCCAGGAAAAACATCGAAAACAGACAATGGCCGAATACGCGAATGGAGAAAAACCTCAAAAAGTGTCATCAGGAACTTCAACCGGAAGTAGCAAAGTACGAGGAGTCCCTCAAAGTTTTGGTTACGTAAAAAGACACAGTGCGGGTACGAGTCCGAGTCCAAATGGAGTTCAAAATGGTTCAAAAGACACCACACGAACAGCACAAGTCAGCGCGGTACCAAGGACAAAGGTATTTGTTTAGATATTTAAAATTCTGCAATGATGCTTAATGCAGGGCTGCAATAATTTAAATCAAAGAGTCTTATAAACTTGCAATAGAATTGGATTCTGAATGCGCATTTTCTTATAATAAAAGCAGGTGCTTTTAGATACGGTCACTGGCAACTGTGGCCCTAACTTAATTCAATAAATCAATTAATTTAATCTTTAGTCTCATTTGAATAAAATTGAAATAAACAGTGATTTCAATGTAAACTTGAATGGAAATGATTTTAGGTAAAAGTATCTGGTGGCACGCAAACCTGCACAACCGAATTACAGGCTAATTCTACGAGTTCAAGTCAAGGCCATCACTACAAAAGCTACAGCCTCACTGGAGCAAGTGCTAGTCAGCTCTCACAATCTGTCCGCGATCGACTAATGTTGGGTTCACAAAGTCTTCCGAAACCCGGAAGTCCGGAGTTTACAGCTTTCTTTGCGGCAGCTCATCATCGAGAACGGGGCAACGGTGGCGGGCCAACGTCGTCGTCATTCTCACCGCGTGTTCTCAAGCCATCGGATGGAAGTCTCAGCGACACATGCAGCACTTACGCGGCACCAGACCTCCAAGGCTACTACGGAAGCCCAAGCAGTCCTTATGCGACTTCCTGGATGAGGCACAGCAACACCTATACACCGAGTGGTCGATCTCAAGGTAAGAAAGGTCGACAGACTTTACGTGACGCTAATAAGAGGGTGTATAAGGATTCGGAGAAAATTAAACTCTTAAGTTTTCTTTTTAGATTGTTAGACGGTATTGTAGAATTACGTCACTTTCGATTTCAGCCTTCAAGGTCTTCGCGTGCGTGATTGATCTGTTTAGGGGTCTGTGAGCTTCTCAGCAAATTGATGCTTCTAGCTAGCTGTTGACACCTTGCAATTTGTGCTTGTTAGAAAATTGCGGCTAAAGATTTTATACTGAATTGAATTTCTATTTAACTGAATTCATAATTAAAAGAATTTTTATTTAGTCAAATTTTTGTAAAACAGAATTTCTAGTTGATCTAATTATATTTTAATATAATTTCTATTTAACAGAATTTATATTTTGCAAAATTTCCGTAATACACAATTTTTAATTACCTACACTAACGTATTTTTTCTATTTAATATTCTAATTAAATCCAATTTATACATTTTTCTGTACTTTTTTTTAGGAATGGGACTATGCGAAGCTGACAGCGTCGAATCATTAGGATCTCATAGAGCAAGTTTAACACACGCTCGACTTTTGATGCACCAAAGAGACTCGACGGGATCTCCAGCTCCACCACGACTCAATAGGAGTAATTCCATCAGGTGAGTGTAGCGTCTAACTTTTCTCAAAATTCCTCAACATATATGGTATATATCAGTCTGCAAAATACGAATTGAAAGCATCAGCACATTAATGTAATTCGAACTTGTTAGACACTCGACAAGTCAGCAACTGTAATTATCGCGTATATGTAGTTATAGAGTATCTCTTCCGGATGAAACAATTATGAACACACTCTCCTCTTATCCGTGAACCTTCTGGCTTCAGAACTTCTCTCGCATATTCTCTCAACATTCTCGGTAATATTATTATTGGTCAACGGCAAATTAAACCATAAACTAGACCAAGAGCCTCTTCACTGACAAGTCGATACTTGACAGATGAGTTTCTAGGAACATTTTCACTGAATAGGATGAGAGGCGAAAGCTTTTCATCACAAGTAGATTCAAAAAGTATTCATTACTAATTGAATGAGAAATATGGAACAAACAAAATAGTTTATTTTAAACTACTAGTAACTATTTTAGAAAAGAGATGTGAAAGTTTTTAATTGTTCTAGTAGAGAATGGTAGATTATTATTCCTGAAAATTTTTATAAAGTCACAATTTAAACTATCTCTTTTCATTCATATTTCATTTTGTTATCTGTTGTATCTATTTTCAACATTTTCCTACTTTGTATTTTGAAAATTCTTAAATTAAATTTGAGGCCGTTCTTTTTATTTTTTAAAAAGACCAAACAAACCAGCTTTTTTATAGTGCTTTCTTCTCGGGATTAAAAAAGAGGGGATTGACAAAAATAATTATAAATTAATTGAATTAACTCTTTTTACGTTCATTTCACATTAATTTCACGATCAAACTTTTAAAAAAATTATCATTTATTTTGGAAAGTTATTCAAGTGATGAATGTTTATGAAATTTGCTGGAAAATAATTCAAGTTTTTTACTAAATTGGAAGAATAGTGAAGTACGCAAGCAATACATACCTATATTGAAATCGTATTTACCATTGCATTGCAGTAGAGGACCATTCATTTCGTTATAGGCGAGTCAATAATGGATGATTATTTGAAAAAGTTGCAATGGCTTGTTTCCAGTGTACGCAACCTGAATAGTGTTCGATAATAAAGAGATTTTATGCCCTGAAAAATGTTTATTAAAATTTTTACACTGTAAATGCGAAACAATCAGAAATTTTACTATACATATATATGTAATTTAAATGATATGCAGGATTTTATTTCATTTTTTGTTGATTAATTTATTCGATTATTTTTTAAAATAAGACATTATTCATTTAAATTGGATTATTTTTAAAAATTTGTATGAAAGGGATATGAAGAAATTTTTGATCATATGCAAAATGTATAAATAAATAACTTTTGTAATTATCAAATTTTTTCCTTGAAAATTGGTATCTGTTCTTCCAGCGGATATTAAGAACGTCCTTAATGGTAGATTAAATTTTTATTGTGGGAAAATAATTAAGAAAAATTAAATCTGCAAAGAAATGAATAATTGTAATTTTTTAACATACATACGAGAATATTGTTTTGACAGATCGACAAAGAGCGAGAAAATGTATCCTTCAATGTTAGCTCGAGGAAGTGGAACATCATCTTCTGTGGGTGAGGAAGTGGGCATTGGAATGGGTGTCAGTGTGGAGCCTTATTATAGCGTTCCCGTCGGCACTGCTGGGTGTCCAGGTCAACATTGGTCCCAACCGACATCCCCGACACCGGCTCACGCTTCCAGACAACCTCCAAATCTTTATCAACATGTTCATAAAGATGACGAAAGTAACAAGTTTCTTTCCTTTCAATAAAAAAAATTATCTCTTTTCACTTTTTAATTCTTTAATAACAATTTTATCTAAGTAAAATTTAAAAAATCTACTTTTTTCACTTTTCTTCTAATATAAATTGATTAAAACAAATTTTTTGCGCCCTAAAGTCGATCCAAGGCTCGTTGATTTCAATTACTGGTTAAAATCCAAAGAATAAATTGGAAATAAATGTAAAGTATCTTTGAAATATAATAAAGCAAAAGTAATTAATTTTTGTTGCAGTTCACGGATCTTCAGTTTCGTTGGTATCAACCGCAAGCAGCCTCTACAGTTCAGCTGAGGAAAAACAAGCGCACGAATTGAGGAAACTGCGTCGTGAATTGCTGGATGCCCAGGAAAAAGTTCATTCACTGACAAGCCAACTCTCAACGAATGTGAGTACCTATTTGTTGGTTTTTTCTCATCCCCTTCCTCTTTTAACTACTGTAAACTCTTCAACTGAACGTCTGCAGTATTTGAAAGATCCCCATTACTCGGTTTCTCAAATAGAGAAATTTAATTGTGAAATATTTCCTGAGAAAAAAATTGTGAAGAAATTAATTGACGAAAGTCTAATTTTTTTCTACTGAAATTTGTAATTACAGCGATAAATCAATTTGCTGAGTCGTGTGTTTAAGCTCAATTCGGACAAAAAATGCGAGTATTTTACGCATGAGTTTGAAAAGTCATAGGGGGTTAAACGATTTACACAATAGTCTGCAATACATCCGGCATAAAAGGTCGATTCGATGATAAATGATAAGCTGCAGACGCATAGCAGCGTGGGCGAATCCAAGTACATATCGAGAATCAGCTTCTCGTATTCCTGAAAATTTTTTTCTACAGGAAGAGTATCATGTTTGTCTATTGTTAACTAGTTTACAATTCAATAGCGTCGTGTGTGTGTGATTGTACAGGATCTCTATTATTTACTATACAATTTCGTCAACGATAGGCTGGCAATGTTTTAACGTAAAAAGTTGAATATTTTGAAATTGATTCAAAACTGAAAAATAAAAGATGATTTTGACAATGACGATGATTTCCAAGGATACTGCTCCCTGAACAGAATTATTATAGGGAAACTTGAAGATTCGAACATTGTCACTTGTTGAAAGAATAACTATATAGTAGAGATGTCTGCCAAATAAAAACTGATTATTACTGAAATATTACGTGCTACATGGGTAAAGACGTTTTTAAAAGAATTTTAGTTAATAATTGGATTTTTAATGGAAATTTTTATTGAATGTTTGATTTATTTATTTAAATTGTCAATGGGTTTAGAGAATTGTAATTATTGTGATGGAATTTAAAAAGTACGCGCCTTCAAAGAGCGCAGTCGAAGATACACGATCGCGATCTTTCGTTAGAGCTCGTTGGCATCGCACCAATCGTTTCTACATAGCGGGTCATTGTGCCCAGGCCAGCATTTCAACCAATAGACGTTCTTTTCCACATCTTTTCCACTGTATACGGTGTCCGGATGGGGATTACTATAGTGATCGTCAACACTGCAGTCTGCGCCGAGACGTGATCCGCGTTTCATATACAAACATATATTTATATATATACATATTTATTTTTATATAGTGCTTTGTCAGAGAAAGAGAGAGAAAAATTGCGAAACCTCGTTTTTCGGCCCGCGAAAAATTCAAATTTGCCAACACGCCTGCGTACAAGTTTCATTTACAATTCTGAGTGATTTTCAAAACAAACTTTGACTTTTGGATATTGCTGTGAAACTGTCAAAGAATGTTTTATTGTAATTCAGTGGATTTATTGTGAGAAATAGTTTGTGGAAATTTAAATATTTTTTCGAGAGTGGGTTTGTAAAAGAAATAACAAGTGTCAATAACAAGTGAGGAAAGGACATTTTAAGGATTCACAGACTGTCAGAACCTTGTGGATTCAATGAAGACGTAATTTTAAAAACGTAATTTTTCATTTTTTTTACTTAGAGTTTAAGAATTTGTTTATTCTTAAGATTCATTGACCCGGATCGCGAACCTGAGACCTTTGATTCTACTTTATCTCATGCGTAGTTTTGCGAATGCTTGCAATGCCTGACCTTTAAACATTCGCTATAAAAAATTTTTTTAAAAGTTTACTTCAAATTTTCAACAATTAACAAAATTAAAACTTCATTTAAATAATTAACGAATTTTTTTAAATTCCAAGGTTAAGAAATTACCTCGGAAATTACAAAAAAAAAGTTTTTAAATTTAATTAATTTTTTCAACTTTAACTCATATTTAATCTTACGGGAAAATTTCATTAACAACTGATAAGCAGTAATGTATGAAATACTCGTGATATAACAGAATAAAAATTACTTCAGTTAATGATAGTAATTAGGGTATTTCTTAATTTTAAAAAATTCCATACGTTAATAACAATAATGTCTCTTGTGTAAGTTTAGGATACATGAAATTATTTTTCTTTTCATAATCAAATTCTCTCTGCAAGGTGAATTATTATCGGATTTTATAAATTAACTAAATTTTAAATTAGAGAAACTCCGTTCAAAGAGCATGAAATTGCTGACTAATTGTAAAAGAATTCTATCATGGATTGTAAATGTTAAAATAAAACGGAAGTACGTAATGCGAGACTCCGCATACAAAAAGGACAATAACTATCGCTCAATTATCGACTGTGTACTAGAATTTCGATTAAAAAGTTGTGTCTGATAAAAGAGAGACAGAGAGAAAAAGTACTTTTTTTGTTATGAACTACTCATTTGAATACGACCTTTATAAACTCACTCGAGTCTTATTAATTAATCGAAAACACATTTTCAAGTCCAAATAAGAAACACCTGTCAATAAACATTTAATGTCTCAAAATGTCATTGGAAGAAAAGAGTATAAATTGTTACATCTTTAATCAATCGACTTGTATTCAAGAAAATTAATTCAATTACAACAAAAGTTGAAAAATTATATGAATTTTTGAATTAACTGAATTAAGTCAATTGAATTTTAAGTATTTAAATTATAAGATGTAACAAATTTAAAATATTTACTTTTTCCATGTGTCTCAAGTTCTGAACGTTCAAATGGAAAAAATCATTTTTTTGGTCTATAAATATTTTTTTTAAATTATTACAGCAATGAAAAATAAAGAATATTTATTTAAAGAGAGTGGAAGCCCTAACATAATATGTATATAGAAATTCTATTTATTAAATAATGTTTTAACAACATATTTTTAACCATCCAAAAAGTTTACGATTGTAGAAAATGTTTTACTGAGTAAAATAAGCTATTGTTTATAAAAATTGGATAATAATTGTGATTTTTGTCGGTTCTGAAAGGAAAAAATGAAATTTTTTTGAACGATCTGGACTTCAGACACATATCTTTTTCTGTGGTATTTGAAGATTCAAAATTTTTACTTGGTTTAAAACTTGTTCAAAAACTCGTCAAATTCTTAAAAAAAAAAGATAAAAAATTTTAATTGTGTTCAATTTCCTTTTTTTTAAATTATTTACTTCTTGTAAATTTTATTTATCGTCGAAAATTGTATTAATTTTCTCACAATTTTAGAAAGTAGAATTTTATGTGAAATATCTGAAACGGAAGCGAAAACGGTGAAGGCGTAAATTTCAAAATTGATTTTAGATCGTGATGAAGTGCCCTATTGATCTTGACGTGCAGTTGCTCTAGATCATCTCACATATATCATTTTACTGAGACGTGATTTCTGCGAAGCGTAAATGATGAGAGATGATACATATATATATCATATACAGAATATATATATATATATATATATATATATATAGGGATCGTGATCCTAAGATATTTTACTGAATGTGTATCGAATAAATATCAGAGATTCAACCAAAACGAATTACTGGAACAATATATCTCATGCAGGTATTAAGCCATAACGTATTATGTTAAAAGATCTCTCAAGTCGAGACTCTAACTCCTTCACTTTTCTTTCCTTCTTTTTTCCTCATCTCTGAGATCTTACAGATGTGATTGGCTGATCTGCGACTTGTTGTGTATCGGTAGATGTCTTCGATACATATAAGGAGATAAGATAAGTTTCTTCTTCTCGTTACCTGGAAAACAATCCATTTGCAGTAGAGAATTTTCAAAAAAAAATTTAATCCAATTTGATTTTCAATAAACTAAGTTTGTTTGAACATTACAGTTTTGGAAAATTTTTCAATTTTGTTCAAAATCTGAGCATGAAAGTTTCAGGGATAAAAACAAAAACTTGTGACAGAGAACTCTTGTAAATTTAGCATTCTTCGAACGTTTTACTGTGACTATATTTTTTCCTTTTGTTTTTCCCGTTTCTACTTTTATGGTTTCTGAGCTGCCATTGACTTTTCAGAAGTCATTACAGAATACATATTATTTTTTATTCTTTTGTACAATTGTAATCGAAATCGAAAATTAGTGAAATTCATTCTCAATGGAAAGATAGAAAAATATTTCCAATCGAAATAAAAATTTACCACGAAATTATCTCTTTACTGTTATTTAATTTTTTCTTTATTTTTCCTTTTTATAATTTTTCAATTATTATGTCCTATTGAAATTAAAAAATCTATGTTGCTTTGTATTTTGAAGTGACAGTCTCGGGGAATTGATTGAATTTCATCATTGTCGGAAAGATGTTGAAGAAATTCCTCAGTTAAGGACCATAATGATCTTTATTAATCGATCTCGTCAAAGTATACAGCAGAGTTCGACGACATAAACCCTCTCAATAAATTCAAGTGGTGGATAATTCTCCTACAGCAGACTAATTAAAATGATCGTTCAAAGGAATTGTTCAATTAAAATCGCCTATGTTCCAAAAATTATTTTTCTCCTTTTATCACCACCATTATAAAATACATGTAAATTATGCGAACTAGATAAATAATAATATACTCGTCGGTCGTTAAAAAACTCAAATTATCACAATTATTTTAATCACAGTTCTGAGAGACTTGTTTTTATGTTCAGCGATCAACACTTGGGAGAGACATTTTTTTAGTTGATAAATCGAATCAAATGTGTCGTTAAGAAAATTTTATTAAGTAAAAAAAATTACTTTGCATTGTGTTTCAACATACATAAATAAATAAATATTAATTATTAGTGTTCTTAATTTCCAAATGGAAAGGAATTTAGAAAACCGATTTTTCTATTTTCAGGAAAAAGTTCTTTTTACTAGAAAAATGTCAGCAAATAATTTTATGTTTTTTTTTTTTTTTTGAATTGAGAAAATTGGATTATAGCCTCAAAATCGAGATTTAGCTTCTAATCTCTTGTTTCGTATTTTAATGAGGTCTGTTTTAAAGACCGTGACTTCCTTCCGCTTGTTTTTCTTTTTTTCGAAAGTCGTGCATAAAGTAGTTCTTTCGACCCTCGAAGTCGTTAAGTCC